TTTTCAAAATATATAAGATGAAGAATTATCATTATTGTATGCTTTGCTATTTGGACCAGCATTCTTCTTTTGGTTATTAGAACCACAAAGTTTTGGTTATTGTACCGTCTGACTTTCTTCACATGCCTGTTGTATTTTTGTTGGAAGTTTAGAAATGAGAATTTATTACTATTATCTGCTTTACAATTCTGTCTTTGTTGTTATGTTTATTATTTTTCATACATTATATCCTCTTTAATCCACTTGGCCATGTGTTGTATTCTTAAAGAAGGTTACAGACAAAGGTGGTACTCTAGTGAAAGGAACAGCAACACTGGTGTAGATGAAAGAAAGAGAGATTTATTGTAAAAGAGAATACACTACTGAAAGACAGGGAATCAGTTAGCAAGCTAGTAATTCCTAAAGCAAATCAACCAGGTATATCTTGTGCTTACTATATATATCTACTGATCAGTCTACATAGATGATAGGGAGTGTGGGACATTCCATTACAACACCATGTCTCTCATGGAATAAACTAACAAGTAACACAAAAGATGAACATTTCTGTTCAGTACTAACTACACAGAATGAGAAAAATCTACTCCTGTGAACTGAATAAAGGGTTTGCTTCAAAATTCCAAGTAGGTTACTGAATATCAAGAAAAACACCTGATGATGGCCGGTAGGTACAGTGGCCATAATTTGGTAGGTATAACCAGGGTTGGTGCATTGGGTCTTGTGGGCAGCCCTTGAATCTATGTTATGGGGTTTCCCACTCTACTACATCTCAATTTTTGTAAGGTAGTATTTATATAAAATACACATTTTATTGTAGCCTAATACATATTACAATGGATCATATACAAGTCAGGTGAACAATTCAACTCAAAAAATGCAACATAAATACATTCTATCTAAATACAAATGAGAGACATGTCATTCTATCTTAAAATAATCAACAATGTTTTGTTGAAATTTTTAACACCAATTTCAGATTTTTCTTGTTAAAAAGTTGAATAATTTTAACACATTCAACATTATGCATAAAAAATAGTGAATTTTATTTTGTGTTTTTCAAGACTTAGCAAAAACAAAACAAATTCACAGATTTGAACAAAAAAAGACCACAGAATGACATCAAAATCCATGAAAAATATCTCATCTTTTAACAGTTGTGCTTAGTTTATTTTTTAATGTATATAAATGTATCTAACTATCTATAAAATTCTGTGACTTCCATTAGTCCATCTGACTGTCACACTCTATAAAATAGATATACATTGACTGATAGAAACCAATTTTTGGCTGGAAGTGCAAACAGGTAAGGGGTTACAAAGTACAGTTGGTTTTACTAGTGTGTGTAGCTTAGTACAATAAATCGTTATTAATTTTTGGGGAAAAATTAAAAGTTTTAATATTTAACATACTAAATACTCCCACAATTTTAAAAACAATTTAATAATTAAAATAACAAATATAAAAATGCAATATTGTTTTTTGCATATCTTTTTTTAAATCTTTATATACAAGAATCTAGTTTCCTCTGCATTTGCAAGAAGTATAAATAAATCACAAGGCTAAAGGCCTCAAAACATTCAAATTTGGCTTCAGAAAGAAATATTTACACATGGCCAGTTGTATGTTGCATGCTCAAGAGTAAGAAATCCTAAGAATTTATTCTTCGCTGTTAAAAAATATTGTTTACCATGAAGTCTTATAAAATTAAATTAAAGAAATTATTAAACTGTGAAGTAGGGTTTTTGTCAAAGCATTTTTCAAAACAAATCATTTTATTCAACTTTCACTGATTGCTTTTCAAAATTGAACAAAACGTAGAATTTGTAAATCTTGACAAAAAATGTTAGCGATTACTTCAACAATACTAAATACTGTGAAGATTTCAACATGTGTCAGAGTTTCGCAAAAACATTCTGTAGTGTAGAAAAATCAGATGTAGATAAGATAGTGTATGTCACAGAGCACTGCCCAGGGCCTCCCCATCAGGCTTGTGTCTCTCAGGTGGAGATGTTCATGAATAGTATGTGCTGGCCCTGGGTATAACCACCAAGATAAGCATGTTAATCTGAATAGCAAAGCAAATAATTAATTATTTTTTAAAAGCTTTTCTTTACATTTACTTTTCTTTTCTAATATTGAGATTCTGGTATTTTTGAGGTATTGTTTTGAACTGTGCCTCAAAGTTACTAATGTTGCTTTGTAGAATTTAAGCAGTGTACTATGCAAAATTAGTTTAAGCATGTTAAGATTTTTTTTTCTCTTAAAATAAATCCCAGATATGGACATGCATGAATTGTCAATAATGATAGTCATGGAAAATCCAAGCACCAGCACTTACTTACTTCTTTTAGGTGCTGTGTCCCTTCAGGACAGAGGCAATCATGGCTCTCCAAAATTTCCTGTTCTTTGTAGCTCTTAATATATTTTATCTTTTTGCTATTTCTCCTAAACTGTGATCTACCATCCACTTACTCAAGCTCACTAAGTAAGTTATTCATTGTTTTTCTCTATCCCTCTTGCCTTCACTCTGTCCTGTGGGTATCAGATTCTCCAAGCCCTCTTTCCTCATTATGCACCCTAGAAATTTGAACTGTTTCTTCTTGATGTTGAGTATCAGTCAGTCAGTTATGTGTCATGTATGATACATGCTTAGAAAATCATGTATCTTTCAATATATGACTGACGAGGCAGATTTTTCCTGCAGTAAACCAGTGGCCATTCAAGGCTGTAGAACCCGATCTGTCCTGCTATTTGCCCATAGTTGGCGGGGGAAGAAGATTCATATCTTTCCCAAAGGTATTACCATGTAAGTGAATGTAATGGATTCAACTGGAATTCGAACTCAGCTCTCTGATTTCTCAATGTGAGCTTCTATCCATGACTGACTGAATGATGATGAGTATAAGTTTCCTTTTTGTTTCCATTTTCTCTAAAACTTTGTCATTGATTAGATATTTTGTCCATGGTATCCTCAGCATGCTTCTGTAGAACCACATCAAATTACAGAATTGTTTTTTGATTACTCTTACTATTATGTTGGTTTCTTGGGAGTACCAAGAATGTTAACAGATATACTAGGTCAGAATTTTCTGCAATAAGGGTTCATCATCATCATCATCATCATTATTATTAACATTATTTACAGTTGAACTAATGTCTTCGTCATTGTTGTTATTCCAACGTTTTGGCCATTATGCCCTCCAATCTTGTTCAGGTGTCTCTTGATCCAGGGAACCTTCTGGGAAATTTAAATTGAAACTTATTTAATCTATGGGAGTAGATTGATCTAATGAATCCCTAGGCTACCTACATACTCTGACTCAATGGAAAACAGGACAAGCATGTAAGTGTTCTGGAATTGCAAAGGAAATATTTGACACAGATTACTTCCACAATGCAGAGAATAAATCACTGTAAGTTCAGACTCAAACATCAGGGGCAGAAAGAAATGCCGAAAACTCAATTCGCAGGTACTATCTCACAAATCCCAATACACACAACCAGTCAGAAGAATAACTCACTCTCCGACAACTGCATTAGCCAAAATACCCGAATTTCGCTCCCTGATTCGTGAACATTAGCTGCTTTTATCGGCCAAGCATTTTTTCAATCATCGACAACTGGGAGAGAATGCAAAATTTTTACATATCAAAATACTTTTATGGTGACTCCTGCAACGCACTTGTTTTTAATTGAAATATTCTGTCTTCAGCATGTCATGCAGAATACATGACTTTTTTTTTTAATAAGTAATTTTCTTTTTTGACACATTTTCCATCATAGGATACATGCGACATGCTGTTGCTTGTTTTGATGAGGTAATTCACCATTTTCTTTACTATAAAGCAATAACTGAGCAGTAGTAGAAAATAACAAGATGTCTCTGGAGACCGACAGTTGAATGAGAACAATTTACTCCCACTGAGGCTTTTTTATCACGGTCTTTGTACATATGTAATAAATGCATAATAATAATATTTATAAATAAATACATTAAATAATAATTTTGACATTAAGAAGAAAACATAACTATCCAAACAGATGGCCCATCCTGGGTAAGACGATAAACTGCATCCAACAGCAAGGTCACTGCTACATCCAACACCAAGGCCTTTGATCAGGAGGCTTTGAGGAGCGTGGAGCCACCTCTTAATTGATGGTGTTCCCAGGTCCAACCTGACCCAGGGTGGTAGCACTTGATAGGGTTCCAGCTATGTGTAAATAGTTAACCACCAAACTGGGGTCAAAACACAATGAAAGTGTAAAAATAGATTTTAATACCAGAAATACTGTGTGAAAATTATTACCAGCTATACATTTTTGAAAAAAAAGAAAATTACCAGCAATACACTTTTAAAAAAAAAAAATATTACCAGCAATAAAAATCATTTTGGCATTAAATAACACATTGAAGTTGATATGCCGTAAAACAAACCAAACCAAACCAAACAGATAGCCAAAAGGGTTTTTTTCTGGAGCATACTCAAAATGTGTGTGCGGATCCTTGGGAAAAATCTTCAATGAACAGTTTGTCTTCATAAGAGGTGGTATGGCATAGTTTAACCAACTCTTTTCTGAACAACGAATCTTCTTTGGAGCTGAAATCCTCATTTATTTTAGTTTGTTGCTTTAATGTTTTCTGTTCTTGATTGTAAAATCTGTTTTAAACATTTTAACTGCCATGCTCTATCAGATCAGACCAAAAATTGGATTATTGTAACATGGCCTTGAGTGTCTCCCCTGCAACTTCTTTCCCAGCAATGCAACATTGCAAGTCACATTCAATCCTATCTTGATTTCCATGGAAAATGTTCTGAAAAGCTACATTGTTTAATTCCATCAGTTTAGTCATTTTAGTGAAGAACCACTTTGCATGTGCACAGGTTTGAATCATCCTCATTCCCCCTCTTTGAATTCGATTGCTAAGAAGGTAGTTCCATTTTGCACAGCTTCCTCCTAAGAGTTGCTTCGCTGTAGAAACAGGGCTTACAGCCACATTACATTGAAACACTGGTTCCCATACAATTACCAAAGTTAAGCAACGTTAAGACTCATCAGTACCTAGATGAGTGACCACTTGGGAATACCAGTTGCTGTAAGCTTGGATATGCAGATGGTGTAATAGATAATATCTTGGAATTTTTAATTGGAGAGCCAATTTCCTATTCCTTTTGTGTTTATTATATTAGGCCAAAATACCCTTTGGAAAGGTATGAATCCAACTCATCTCCCCCAGCTATGGGTGAATTAGTAAGACTTGTGTCACTAAAGCATTATTATTCCTCCCACCAAAAAAAAAAAATTGTCACTAACAATACTTTCTGTCTTTAAATAACCTGCAATGGGTTGATAAGCCATAGAAAATGAATCAACCAACCAACTTTATGGAACAGACTCCTAACTGAATGCTTCACTCATCACTATAATCTTAACTTCTTCAAGTGTAGAGTTAAATATTAAACAATTCTTACTTCCACCTTTTATGACCATAAAAAATCTTAAGTAATCCTCTATCTTGAGTATCGCTCTAGCCTTGAGTAAATAATATCATTAAAAATATCAATGCCAAGAGGCAGCATGGATGGGAGAGTGACTCCCCCACCAGGAAATAATTTAGCCCCACTAGTGAACTAATTTTAGTGTACCGATTCTTACTTGCATCCCCTGTGACTTAAACACCACCCCTCCCACTCAAAGCACTGGTAATTGACTTGATTTTATGTCAAACCTACTATTGAGAGACCTATTTTATACAAAGTTGTGTCCTGGGTATGATGATAAACTACATCTGGTAGCAAGGCATCTGATCAGGAGGTTTTGAGGAGTGTCGAACCACCTCTTAATTGCTGTTGTTCCCAGGTTCACTGTTAGGGTCCCAGCGATAGGCAAATAGCTAACCCCCAAACTTGGGTAAAAACACCATGAAAGTATAAAAATAGACTTTTATAGTAAAGATACCAGCAATACATTTTTGAAAAATATGTTAATGAAAACTGATCTACAAACTGATCTACAAACTGATTTCTTGAAAAGAATACATATTTTATTTATACAAATCTATCCTAAAAATCTTGTCGGCATTAAATAACCCATTAAGGTGTTGATATGCCATAAAACAAAATAAACCAAACTATCTAATATTAGTCTACCTACTGCTGCTATTTCTTCCCAAAACCTAATCAGATTTTTTGTTTAAAAAGGTTTCTTGGTTGGACTGATAACTTTTCAGCATGCCTTCATATATATGACTTTAATAGTCATGGACAAAATACAACAGAATTTAGCTTTGGATTTCTGTCAGTAATGTTTTGTTTATTAAATAAATTCTTGGATAATGTCATGACATGCATCTTGTCTTCTTTAATTATTCATCAACTGAATCAACATCTAATGTCATTCATTAACCCCAAAAACTTTTGCCATACTTACATGTGTACACATGTCTTAATACTGAAACAATTAAACATATCATATATTTAAATATAGATAATTATAAAGAATTCTTTTCTAAAAAAGTATGTTAATGCAAACCAGTTTGGAGAAAACATTCCAAGTGTTGATGATAATGATTCTTTGCATAGGGCATTAAAACTGAAGCCAGGATTTACAGAATAGACTGTAAAAATATCACAGGAAATACATAGGTGAGGCATCTACAAATTTAAATAAAAAACATATATATGAACACAAAACAGATTTTTACAAAACAATGCACTTAGTTGTTAAACATAATTTGTCTGAGCATAATGTTGATTTAAAGAATGCAGCTTTAATTAAGAGAAAATAATTTGTTTAGCAAATGTGTATAAAAAGTGCATTAATTTGTGAGTCTTTAACCATAAATTCATGTTCAGATTCATACAATATTTCACCTTTCTTAACAAAACTTGTGCTGTTATAATATGGGATATTTAAAAACAAACGTTATAAAAATGTGTTAAGAAACAGAAACAAACGTTATAAAAATGTGTTAAGAAACAGAATGAGGTAGGAAGTATGTTTAGTCATATTGGACACCAGAAATTTAAATTTAAAGTTAAGTGTCTCCCAATTTGTTTCTATTTTCATTTCTCCTTATAGGATTCCCTCAGTAAAACATTATTTTGTCTGAGAAACTTTTGAAGGAGAAAACATATTCTGTTTTTGTTTATTTTTAATCATTTCACCCCAAGCAAGGCAATAAAGTAACTAGAATGCGAGGGATACTGGATGTGAGAGAATACATGTAAAAAAAATACTGTTAAGGAGTGAGAACAATAAAAGAATGGAAAATAAGAAAATAGCAGATAACAAATGACATTGCACTTAAATGTTTGAAGATCAAAATTCACTGGTAAGCAAGAAGCCAGAAGACTAAAAGAAAAAAACTGTTAGCATAGAACTTATTGTTACATCTAGCCATTTCAACTGTAAAATAATGAGACCTTGCTACCAATCTAGTACTGCACTTAAATTCATAAAATTTAAGTACCACAGAGGGAAGTTCATCAGAACAATTACCATGTTACATAGGATTTTTCCATTTTGACATTCAGTTCCCCACAAGGCATTAAGTAGTAGCTTTTGAAGAAAAAAAGTGTTTTAATTGCTACATAAAGCAGACACAGCAGTATTTATTTATAATTGATCTTTGTGGTAACAGATGAAGGAAAAATGTGACAAATATCCAAAGTCACATAAAAATAGTGAAAGATGCCTTCCAGATCTAAGCACAGATTGGAAAGTTCCCCAAGAATCATAGAAAATTCCTTAACTGCCATGTAATGTCTGATTTCTATATGTCTGCGAATACTGTAAAATTTCCATGATAGATGATTAAAAGAATTGAAGTGATAGTGATGTGGTTTTACTGACAAATGCTAAGAATACCTTGGACAACATATGTCACCAGTAAGGAAGTTTTAAGGCAAAATATAAACAAGAAACTTACACTTACTATCAGCAGACATTTCTGGCATACATAATAAGGAAAGTGGGCTTGGAGAATTGAAAACGAACAGGACATACTCGATGCACGAAAATTAAAGAAAACAGAGTGTAACCTTAAACCAACAAAAGACAGGTAGTTGTAGAGATCCACAATCCCCCATTACCTGAAAGTACATTGCATATAAAAGAAGAAAATTAATTGAACTGTGGGTCTTGTCAATAAGTTAATTATTTACTGCAGACAACATGAGCAATGCACATTAAATGAGAAAATTGTGAAAGAAAGTGCTTATGACATTAATAATTATGACAAACTTAGGTCAAACATCTTTATTTTCTTCTTTGTTCTTAAAATAAAGAAACTTAGACTTTCTGATTGTTTCTTTTTTCTTACAAAAGAACTAGGCTAATAAGAAGTGATACAAAATTTCAGTGTATATAAAATACATAAAATAAATGCTGTTTGTAATTACAGGATATCGATTTTCCTTGTCTAAAGCTACGGCTTATTTGACAGATATAGAATTAATGTAGAGAGTTTAAGAATTGTCTATAAATTAGTCAATTATCCAAAGATAACCTTGAAGAAAATGTCTCTGTATTCTTGAGTGTCGGCCATTTCAAAGGTTTCTTCACAAAAGATTTTGCTAGCCTGCAGGTAGATTGCACTCATTGACCTTCTGTCTGTTGTCTGATAATATTTATTTACATCTTTTCTATGAGATTATCTCCAGAAATTATTAATTTCTCAAACCTCTCTCTTTTTTATATATATATATATATATATATATATATATATATATATATATATAATGTGTGAGAGAGAGAGATAGGTGCTGACCTCAGTGTCCACTTTTATATTAACACACACTCTGATATTGGTCACTTTTACTCATGAATATACCATATCTTAAAACCATATTTTTATTATATATATATATATATATATGTGTGTGTGTGTGTATTATTAAATCAGAAATGATAAAGTTCAAGACTTACCAGTCACTCAGCCTCACAATGAGTTAGAAATTATAAAATTCAGAGTTGACATCAATAATTCATGAACTATATTATTTATGATTCAATAATTATTGCTCCTGTCAAATAGCAAGCACTTTATTGACAGATCTTCTGTACTCTAGTCCAAAAGCATCTGAGTCCTTATGGGTAACAAATTATTTTCCACACTCCAACTTCTCACTCACAGGTGGAATGTGACAAACCTCTTACTGCTCTGTTGCTTCTTCCATGGAAAGTGTTGGAATGAACTGCATTTCTTAGTTCTGCCAGTTCTAATCTTCACATCAAGTTCCTGCCATGCCATTCCTATTGTAGCAAACCAAATAAATTCCTTCCATGATCCATTGGTGAGGAGTAAGTTCCACTTTAACAGCTTCTTTTCACAGACAACTGTTCTGTCAGAGTGACTCTTAAGAGGATATTTTCCCAATCAATACAATCTTAACCTGTTCAAGTCTAGGGATGATCCTATCTGCATAAACTGCCTCTTAATGTAACCCTCTACCTCAAGTGAACCCCCAGAACTCATACAGAGAGAACCTTACTGTAAAAAAAAAAAAAAAAAAAAAAGAAGATATCAGTCACCAGTATCATTATTTTATTATAACACTATTCATCTTTATTTACATTATTCTGACTATTGTCCTCATCTCTGTCACCATATTTATCACAACGTTTCAGCCGTTGTATGCTTCAGCCTTCTTCAGGTGGTTGGAATTTCGAACTGAACCCTTTATTTCGCTCACTGGGGTAGACTGTTCTAGTTCCACGTGCCATGTTTGATGGATATCAGTTATCAGTTATCTCCTGCTAATTTCCCTCTGAAAGTTCTCCACTGCCTTAACCAGGTATTGAACTCACACTAGCATATGTGCTGATTCCTTAAGTTTACGAATTTTCCTATGGTGTTCCTTGTCTATGATCTCAACATGATCCCACAGAGGGCGGTGATCTCGCTTCTCTCTCCATATGTGGTCAGCCACACCTGATTTTTCTACTTCCCCTCATGTTACAGCTTTCTTGTGTTCTTGAAGCCTGTCTCTTCTTTATATTCCTTTCTGCAGCTACACAGGATAGCATATACACAGTTTTTAGTCACGTTCTCTTCTATGGGGGGGGTCTTACTTGGGAGAGATATCTGCGAAGTATCG